ACACGTCTCACTGGCTTTTTGTGTGTGTGTGTGTCTTTTTGTGTGTGTGTGTGTGTGTGTGTGTGTGTGTGTGTGTGTGTGTGTGTGTTGAGACAGTCAATATTTTCTTTACTAAGTGTAAAGTGTGTGTATTTGTCCCAACAGACTTCTGTCAGAAGTGACACAGACGCTGCTCTCTCTAACATGAATGAAATTGGTGACATAGTCAGAGAGGACCATCAAAGCCTCATTTCACATGTACGTACAGCATGTTACCTCATTCTGTCTCATACAAGTTAAACAGTATGCTTGTTTTTGTAATTATTCATCAGTTATTTATGGCTTAAGGTGTTAGTGTAACATGAGTATGTGCTACAACTGAGTTGAGGTATATTTTTCTCATGTTGTTTTTAGTATGGGCACATGAAGTCTCTACTTGAGAAATCAAAGGACATACAGAGCAGAATGATGCAGAAGGTCAAAGAAGCTCTTCATCAGAGAAATGACATGAGGACTCAAATGGAAGAAGCCTTCACAGCAAAGGAGGCAGTAAGTCCTTTTGGGGTGTTTTAGTTGTTTAGTCTAAATGTAGAGGAACGGCAACCTCCTGAGGAGAAGGGTGTACTATGAAGCACGTTCAATACAGCCAGCCGTTCTTTGCGTTAGCTGGCTTGACAAAACCTAAAACCCCAGTGAGAGATGAAGCTGGTTCTCAGCTTTCTTTGTTAATCCAGGCTTCCTGCTTCAGGCTCTGTTCACAATCACATTAAAGGGAGCATTTATCTGCCTTTCTTCTTCTGCATAAGTCTATTGAGAATGTCTGATTGGAGCAGGTTGTGCTCAGAGCATTGGGTAATGGAGATCTATAAACGTTATTGAAAAATATATCAGTAAAATGGACATTAGTGTGAAAAATAAGATAACAGAGTAATGCTGCCGAGAATCATTAATGTGGTAAATTTGTTAAATTGTGTTTATGTTACTGCTCAGTGCTGCTGTTTATTTCAATTTAAGCAAAAAGTAGCACTTAAAGCATACTAGAATCAGTTCAAAGGTTGCGTTTCCAGGTAATGTGTTTAGCATAAGTTACTGTGGTGATCTAGCCAGGTTAAAAAGAGAGCCACCTTTGTGACACAAAAAACCTCTCTGTCTGTTAAACATAGCTCACTGTGTAAACACCTCTGCTTTAGCTGACCAACAGTTTTTCTGGAACATATAAAAATATCTGCAGAAGTTATGCTGGCTGTGTGTTTAAGAGGATTATTTGTTCCAGGGGTATTAAATGTGTGTGTGGTTGTGTGTTGTCAGGCTTTCAGTGCGATGGAACAGCTGAGGACACACTGTGCCACAGAAATTTCACTTCTGGAGAAGAGTGTGGGGTCTCAGCAAGAGCTGCTGGCCGCCCTAAACCAGAGCTATCCAGAACTGGTACGGATTACAAGCCAAAAAATAAACAGCTCAATAATTGTATTTAAAGTAATATGTGAGTGTCATTTCTTTGTTTCTTTTTGTCTTTACTAATGCAGGTTGTGTTAAACAAGGCTTATAATGCAACCCTGGACTCTGCTTCAGATCTTTTGTCTGAAACCATGGATGAACAGTCCGCTTTGATGAAAGAGGTACGCTCGTACTAAAAACCTTGAACTATGACAGTCAATGAACATGTATCACAGCAGTTTCTATATGATGGCAAAGAAACAAAGAACCAGTGTTTTGGTTCCAGTTCTTATGTTTTCATTTTTAGTTTAATCTGAGTGACATTGATAGCAGCACAGTGGCTCCGTTTGAATGGTGTTTACTGCTGTTGTAATTTGTGGGTTTCTAAAAACACGAGGCTTTGGTGTAAAATCCACCACATGAGCATCCTGTACATAATAGTGCTGTTTAAAGGTACAGTCAGTCATTTTTTGGTTGAGGATATTCTCAGTACTCATAAGTATACATTGAAGTGTATAATTATGTCTTCCTACAAATTGATACGCTCTCGTAAAACTGGAAATAAAATACATAGGAGCATGTGCTGGTTTGTGGAAGCCCCTGTGTTGCCTGGCCATGTTGAATACAGTGGCCGAGATGGACATCAGCTAATCATGTTTTATGTATGCGGCTGCAGACCGGCTGCATACGTAGCACGCCAAAGACTCAGACAAGCTCCATATCGGTTTGTTGCCGTTCGTGTCTTGTGCCATGGAGGCAAGTTGCATTTTCTGTCTGCACCTTCAGACTCAAGATATAAAAGATCACACCTATGTTTTATCATCTGAGAAGTGGTTTCCTTCACTAAAGGAGCGAAAATGTGAACGAAAGAGGCGATGTGACCGGCCTCTGGATAAAACAAGAGTAGATCTTTGCACAGTAGATTAAAGGAATTGCAGAAAGGGAGATTATGAAGGTGACACAGAAGTCACTGGGGTTCTGCTCAATATTTTGTCTTTTTATGTTTATTTTATAAACATGTATATCCTATAGTGGTCACTGTAGCTACGATTATGCACTTGAATTAGGTGGTGTAAGAAAACAGAATTCAGTTGGCTGTAATCTACTGCCATCTAGTGGTGAGATTATTATTATTATTATTATTATTATTATTATTAT